TTAATGCATGCTATGGGCCCTTTATCATGATTAATGCATGCCACGTTACTATTTGGTTTGACCCAACTTTAAGACGTCTCTGACGCATTAATTAAACTAGGCAGTATTGCCGGCTTTCGAGCCTATTAACTTTACGCCCTGTGGCGCTTTAACCTTATTAACTGAGTCACGTTGGGTCGACCTGTCATTTATTAATATACTAACCTTTGCACCCAATTGCACTTTCAAAACACCTGCCTCTAAACGGCTTTCAAGCCACTTCTAAATTTACCCCAGCGGTAATAAATTAGAAGGTTAGTCTCGAAATATTTAATCTTAACTTTGCATAAATTGATCAATATATCTTGACCCTCATAATGATTAATAGCATATGATACAATAACACTTGTTCAATCAATCTAGTCTTGGTTTGTAACTGTTAATTTTGCAGTATAACCTCCGTCGCATCTCGTACGTCACATCTCTTTTGCCGTGTGTTTCGTGCCTCCAGTGCAGCCAGCGCGACATTATTTGTGCTGTACGCGTTATTTCGTTAGAGGTTAGATTGGGAATATGCGTTCACTGTCAAGTCTTGTACCGCTAAATTGGAATTACCCGGGCGACAGAAATTACAAACAACTCCGCATCTTGGAAATACAATCATCGGCGGCTCGCCTCCTGGGACGCATTGGTCCCTGGGGAGAGGTTGCTGCAGGTATAGGGTCTTCTTGTCTTTATCATCGGGGAGGTTGCTGCAGGTAGGGTCTTCTCGTCTTTATAATCAGATAGTTCATCGGGTTGTTGATGAGCTGATATTTGGTGTGCGTTAATTTCCAATGGATGTAATAAAGAAACGACGTACTCTCTGTATGAATGATCAGGTCTCAGAACCTTAACAGATCGCGTCCTCCCATCTTGACCCTTAAATAGTTGAGCGACTCTCCCCATAGACCAGAGGGGTCGAGGCTTTACTTGCTAAGAAATTAAGACGAGATCGTCTTTCTTAATTCTGTCGCTCCCAGAAGGTTGTGCGCTGGCTCGGTCAGTCCCCCGCAGAGAGACCAGGTATTCTTCGTACCATAGATCCACAAAACGAGCCAGTGTGTTCTCACGGATTTCAAAGGTTTCATAAACTGCTTTATAAGTCGGTTTAATTAGCTCCTCGCCTTCAATCAGATCATTCGTGATACGTTCATCCCATGCTCTAACTTGGTCGAGGTTGCGTCTGATAGCTTCGCAGAGGCTTCCAAATTAATCCGAATCACCATCACTGGCCGCATCTTAAGTTTTTTCAAGCCTAAAGTGATCTTTCTCTTGAAGACTCCTCGCTTTTGAGATAGTGACGTATCCTTAACGCCGACGAAGCAGCACCTTATAGGTTATTGCTAAACGACCAATACAAACCAGGGGCTCCCGAGATTGTTCGGGGCACATCGGTTTAACGTTGTAAAAGCTAGCTTTTCAGGAAGGGCTATTCCACATGTCGGGAGGGGGGGAAGGGCTATTCCACATGTCGGTGATTCGAAGCGAGAAGAAATTTTGTCACGTGGAGAAGTTGCAGCGCAGTTTTTTTAACTTATAGCCGTGGCCCCTGGTGTTGGTTCTTGTTTCAAATTCTAGTAATCCTTCGGGCACCTTGTATAGACCATGAGTATACCTGAATACTTCAATGAGGTCCCCACGTAGACTTCGATAACTGAGGCTTGAATGCTTAATAATCTTCAATCTTTCTTCATAGGACTTGCCCTTCAAGCCTGGAATTATCCTTGTTGCACGTCTTTGAACATTCTCTATTAAATATCTGTCCTTTTTAAATCTCGGTGATCACACAACGTTTCCAAACTCTAGATTCGGGCGCACGAAAGCAACAAACAACTGCTTCATCGCTTCTGCATCTAGGAACTCGTATGAGCGTCTGATTAGTCCAAGAAGTGTGTTGGATGTGTCAGCTTGCGTTCCAGCATGCTTAGAAAATTTCAGCTCCTTGTCGACATAAACTCCGAGATCTTTTTCCACACTAGACTTTTCAATCATTACTCTCTCGTTGCAACCATGTCTTCTCATACTGTAACCTTGCTGTTCATTGTTCTTCCCGAGGTGAAGTACTTTACACTTGTCAGCATTAAACCGCAGCTGCCACGTATCAGCCCAGTTAATTAAACTGTCAAGATCATCTTGTAATTGCGCTCTATTTGACGCATACTTCACTGAATTATAAACTTTTGTGTCGTCGGCATACATGGAGCACACGCTGGACACTACTTCTGGCAGATCATTTATAAAAGCAACGAACAAAATAGGCCTAAGAACGCTTCCTTGTGGCACGCCACTGCGCACTGATGCCCAGTCTGACACGGTTCCGTTAATACTGACACGTTGTCGTCTACCTACTAGAAAATCTCTGATCCATTAGAGTACGTTTCCTTCAATTCCCAAGGACTTCACTTTACGCATCAACCGCTCATGCGGAACACTGTCAAATGCTTTGGCAAAATCGAGGTATAATGCATCCACTGGCTCCTTTTCATCCAGCAGGCGAGTCCAATCGTTCAACGTAGATAATAAGTTAGTGGTGCAGGATCTGCCGGCAATAAAATCATGTTGACAATCTGATATGAGATGGTGAACAGTCAAGTGATCGATAATCCTATCCCTCGCAACAGATTCCATTAGCTTACAAACAACACTTGTCAGACTGACAGGGCGATAGTTGCCGGGGCTGCTTTTATCACCTATTTTGAACAATGGTTTTACTTGAGCTTCTTTCCAGTCGGACGGCAAAGTTCCTTCGTTCAAGGTTTTTTTGAAAGAATCCTGTCAATGGGCCGGCCAGAACGGTTGCTAATTCTTTGAGCAATCTGGCCGTCTGGTCCACATGACTTGTTGGGATTTAGAGCTACCAGGCGCTTGAGAACCTCTTCATCGTGTATTTCAAAACATGTTAACTGCGAGCCGACTTCGAGCCGACTCATGATTTTGTTGTTCAAATTTGAGGTAAATGGTCAGGTTTTTTATCGGAAGACAGTGCTCATATTTTTGATGGTTAAGATTCGAAATAAAATTGTGAGTAAATGAGCAGGTTTTATTCGTGGGTAATTGATTAATTTTGATTGTCCACATTCGAAATAAGATTGTGGGTTAATGATCGGTAGCCTGTTAAGCTGTTTATGCAAATTGTGACGATACACCCCTTTTACTATCCGCTTTCCTCTGTATCGTAATGTATAACCACCCGTATATAAGATATGTTATCTGGACACATGTGTTTTACTTATCCCTAATTATTTGAGTCAACGAACCCGATCCTCCTGTAGAGCTTAATATTTGAACTCTGACGCTGGTTAAAGATGTGAGAATGTTTTGCTCTGCAGTATGTGGAAAATGTTTGGTACCCGCATTAGGTAGGAGTGTTTGGTACGGGTAAATGGGGAAGAATGTTTCGCAAATGGATAATGTGAAAGAATATTGAGCGGTGTTGAACATTGGAGAATTTTGAATGTTGCGTTGAGTGATGGTGAATGTTGATGAATTTTTGGTTTTGGCAATGTGTGGAATATCGAATGCTGTGAATATTGATGATTGTTTTATTCTGGCAAAGTGGGAGAATCTTTCATTCTGGTAAATATTAGAGAATGTGGATAGTTGGGGGTTGAAAGTTGTATTAACTGATATTGTTCCTGGTTCTAGGTCGTGTTTTCTTGCCATTTGCTTAATTGTGCCGCGGTGATACATTCTTCATGATTTCATCAAGTCATGTATAGCGTAAAGCGATTCAAATGGGCCCTCTCTTTCTCCCACTATAAGGAGGAAAGGGAGGGGGCATTTTTCAACGCAATTTTCAGATTCGGCCGTGTCCGTGCCGATAAAGTGTCAAATACGCACGCCCCATGATCGCCCCAAGCTCGCTCGGTCTATGACCAGATTCTAAAGAGACCTGTTTCTTTCATACAACAAGAACCTAAAGTGGACATAGATTGGCTAATTCATGCGCTAAGTGAGCTTAGAGCGTCCTTTTGCCTGCGGCTGACAAGAATAAAAGTTTCGATAGGAGAAGTTAGTGCGTTTAGGGGAATGATACTACAGTTTGTACGGCTGGGGTAATGACACTACAGCTTGTGCGTCTGGGGAAAGAAACTGCAATTTGTGCGTCCTGGGGAATGAAACTGCAGTTTATGTGCCCGGAATGTTGATACCGCAGTTGGTATGTCTGCGGAAATGACACTTTAGTTTTTGCGTCTGGGTGAATGACACTGCAGTTTGTGTGCCCAGGTTCCATGCGCTCTGGCTACGGGGCTGTAGGCTTCGAGCTGCTGAGCTGCCGCTGCTGCTGCAGGAGCTTCAGGCTGCTGGCGTGAGGACGAACAACAGGGGCTACACGCGCGCTCAGGCTGTCGGGTGAGTTTACGGTGGCCATTGAACTGTGAGCCAATATTGCTATAGCACTGAATGGTATAATCCCAGCAGGAATTCGCTGGATGATTCTATGTTCAAACAACTACCTTTTACGACGTTGGTATGGTGTTGAAAAAAGATCGATAATTAAAATTGAAGCAACGTCTTTCACAAAACGTAGTACTGACGCTAGAATGGAACGTTGAATCAATGTTGCTACTATGACGTTGTTACAAAGTCATATTCTCTGGTTGAACAAACGTTGTGGAACCAACTTTCTTCCAACGTAGTGATCGTTGAAAAAAGGTTGATAATGATAACTGAAGCAAAGTCATTCACGAAACGTCGTACTGACGTTACAATGCAACGTTGAATCCATGTTGCTGCTACGACGATGCTTCAACGTTATATTCTCTGGTTGAATAAACGTTAAAGAACTGACCTTTTCCAACGTTGGGATCGCGTTGAAAAAGATTTAGAATGAAAAGTTCAGCAATGTTGTTTATGAGACTTCGTTACAATGCAACCGGATGCAAATGCAAAGTTGCAACCGGATTTCATTATACATGTTCTGTCGTGACTGATACATTAGATGAGCATCTTATTACAATGAGTTGCATTTAATTAGATATAGACATAGTATCTGCAACACTATTTATTCACTTTCCTTCAATTCTCGTTGGAAGAACCATTCGACCTTAACAGGATTCGAACTCGGGATCGCTGCAGACCGTGCGACGCCCTATGCCACCTTGACCACAGTACCTCGCGAACTTGAAAAATTAAAATAAGCTATAGAATTGTTTTGACTCCTTGGAAATTGGAATGCATTCTCTGGTCATCAATGGCATATATATATTTATAGGTCCACTTATCCAGACTTTAACTATTCTTTGTTAAATTAATATTTAATAATATTTATTAATGGCAAAAAAATATGTAGAAAAACTTGACCTGGCTGGACCTAACTCCAGTGAAACGGTCTCTAGCAACGTAAAGAAGGGTTTTAGACACACATAACCTAACGAGGTTGGCGTTTATCTGATGTCCGGTAATGTAGGTCATTTATTTTCGCGTCCGGTTTTCAGGTACAAACTAATTGCAGAGAATATAACCGGACGCGATTTTGTCCGGGTTTCTAACCCTTGTCCGGTAATGTTACCAGTCCGGTCCGGTTATTGTTAAATTTATATCTCTTATATAAATATATAAATATACATAAATACTTCCACTTATCTGGCCTATGATTATTTTTTGCCCAATGATCCATGTAAAATTGTGTAAAAAGTAAAAAGAATCTGACCTGGCTGGACCTAACCTCAGTAGAATGGTGTCAAGAGACGTAAAGAAGAGTTTTATACACACCTAACCCTAACTCCAACCCTAACCTACCGACGTTGGCGTATTTTAGAATGTCCGGTAGTATAGTTCATTTATTTTCGTGTTCGGTTTTTAGGCACAAACTAATTGCTGAGTACATAACCAGACTCTTGTCCGGATTTATAACCCCTGTCCGGTAATGTTACCAATCCTGTCCGACAATTCCGAATTGGTAACATTACCGGACTTAATTGGTAACATTGCCGAATTGAAATTACCCGGTGCGAATTTGTAACATTACCGGACATTAAGAATCGGCAATTCCGCGATTTCAGCGCGTCATATATGTATTATCAATACATCGAAATTCCGAGACTATGATTAGTTAGCAATTCTAAACCCTATTTAAATAAAAAATATTAAATCTGACTAAACCTAACCCCTGTAGGGTTTGTCCTAACCTCAAACCAACCCTTTTTACTACCCTAATTCTAATCCTAACCTAACGAGGTTGGCGTTAAAAAGCATGTCGCACAATTGCGTACATCTTTTCGGTGTCGCGCAATTGAGTGTGAACTTAGCACCGTAAATATAGTGCGACACGATTTTATCACACAATTACTCCGCGCAGCTGAATTTCGTCGCAAAAACGTCGCACTATTACCTGATTTATAAATTTAAGTATACGTGTACTATTAATGACCAGAGAATGCATTATATTCAAGTTTTCAGGGAGTCGAGAAATTCTTCAGATGACGTTAATAAATCAGAAGACAGGTCTCAGCAGGTACTTATAATATGTTTAACGACGTTTCGAATGTAGCAACATTCATTTTCAAGTTACAAAAAGCATTGAACAAATTAATTTTTATGGAGAGAAGAACATAATACACGTAAATAGGACACAACACAAAAATTTTGAAACGGAAAATGACTCTGAAAACCATATACCCTTATTATCATGGGCGAGTCTCCAGCTACCAACCTCCAAACTACAGGATTCGTCTAAACGCTGAAATTATTTTCAGAGTAATTTTAAGCTTGGATTTTAAATTGTATACACAATACCTTGATTTCTAATAAAGTCATTTCCGAAGTTCAATTGTTGCGAAACCTTCACTTGCTTGATAATGAATATTGTATATCCGAAACGTCGCATTCCAGTGGAACGTTATTTGGTAACCTGATTTTTAATCTCCAAGCACCAGAAGATTATTAATAGAAAGTATGCTCTGGTCTTCAATCAAACTTGCATATATATAGATATATAAATTCATTTATTACAAAATAATTGATTAAAGTGAATAATAATATCAACAATAATAACAATTATTATTATTGTTATTTTTATTATCATTATCATCAATATAATTTAATCTAATTTATTTAATATTCAAATATAATTTTACGTATCATTAAATGATATATCAAATACATTATTTAATATAATAAAATTAGACATAAGTCAAACCCTATAGTATAATCAATCCAATACATTAATTTAATATAATCCCATATGGTTATATATCGCTAATATATTATTGATTAGATGATGGTGCTCTGTCAATGATCGCCATTTGTAGGCCGAGATGGCGGCTGCTGTAATGCATGAAACATGCCACGCAGGATATTCACTGCCGTACTCGCACAGGTGGCATGTTCACCTCATCGGAGACCGCGTTCCCCTGGGGGGACCAGTGGTGCCAGGTGACGACGAAATGCAGGAGGCGCTACAGCGATACCTGCAAGAACACTAGAACGAAAAACATTCAGACGATGAACACTCGGAAAAGGAACACTCGGACGAGGAACAATCGGACAAGGAACACTCGGACGAGGAACAATCGGACAAGGAACACTCGGACGAGAAACCCTCGTACGAGGAACAATCGGACGAGGAACACTCGGATGAAAAACATTCAGACGATGAACACTCGGACGAGGAACACTCGGACGAGGAACACTCGGACGAGGAACACTCGGACGAGGAACACAGACTAGGAACACTTGGGCAAGAAACACTCGGACGAGAACACTTGGCCAAGGAACACTCGGACGAGAAACACCAGGACGAGGAACACTAAAACTAGGAACACTCGGGCAAGAAACAATCGGACGAGAAACACTCGCATGAAGAACAATCGGACGAGGAAAACTAGGACGACGAACACTTGGATGAAGAACAATCGGACGAGGAACACTCGGACGGGGAACATTCGGACGAGGAACACTTGAACGAGGAACATTCGGTCGAGGAACAAAAGGACGAGTAACACTAGGACGAGGAATGCTCGGACGATGAAAATTAGGACGAAGAACACTTGGACCAGAAACACTCGGACGAGAAACGCTCGGACGAATAACATTAGGACGAAGAACACTAAGACGAGGTTGCATACAGAGTCTTCAGACTGTCATAGAAGATGCATATTGTCTGCAGGACCGCTGCGAACATCTCTTCCTTCACGAGCATTCAGTGCTCTTCCGGTGCCCCAGCAGCCCCGAGTGCGACGCTTCACACGCCTCAGGCGGCGGCCACTCAGGGGCGCGGCGGACGCTGACATCGGCGTCGTCCATGGAGAGCTTCTTGTCTGCTCAGGGCGACATCACAGACCTGAGGGACCTGGATGACTTTGATGAGTCGCAGTTCCCTCTGTACCTCGTGGCCGTCAGACTCAATGAATCCGTGGGCATCCCATTCAGGGAGCTGAGGACGGAGGAGGTGCAGTGCGCTAGCGACGCAAAGTACGTGTGTAAGGTTCACTGCATCAGGCTGGCGTCGCAGCTCCTCTTCAGCAAGCAGGAGAACAGGGACTGGTTCATCCAGTCTGGCCACCACATCATCGCTGATCTCACGATCAAAGCAGGCAAGGACCCCAAAGAAGCGGTGATGGCGTACGGCGCGATGCTCGAGTACCTCGGCGCTTGCGATTGCGGGCTACTGGAGGAGGAGTTGCGAGGTCGAGGCGTCGTGGCGATCACCTTTTACGACGTGGTGCTAGACTTCATCCTCCTCGATGTCTTCGAGGACCTGGACATGCCTCCCTCCTCCGTCACCGCCGTCGTGCAGAACAGGCGCTCTCCGCAGCAGTATGGTCCATACTTGGGACGAGGAAAAATCGGACGAGGAATACTCGGATGATCAACTCTAGGATGAGGAACACTAGGATGAGGAGCACTAGAACGAGGAACACTAGGACGAGGACCACTAGGACGAGGAACACTAGAACGAGGAACACTAGGACAAGGAACACTTGGACGAGGAACGCTCGGACGCGGAACGCTCGGACGAGGAATACTTGGACGAGGAGCACTAGGACGAGGCACACTTGGACCAGAAACACTCGGACGAGAAACGCTCGGACGAATAACATTAGAACGAAGAACACTACGTCGAGGAACAATCAGACGAGGAACATTCTGACGACAAATTTTGTTATTGTTGCTGATTTCAAGAACGGGAAAGGTTTGCATGCATATGATCTTCATTATATTTCTTAAAGTGTTGAAGGATAACGAAAACTGTTTCGATAATTGGCCAGGGAGAGTTAATGATATAAAGTATGGAACGGTTATTCCTGAGCTTGCAAAACCGTTCAGAAGTGTAGATGTAGACCATGCGTTACAATAAATGCGTTACATTGTGCAATTGTCAAAAAATCAACCCGTCAATGGGCATCGCTAGTGGTGATCGTTCAAAATTGTGATGATTCGTTGCTTATGACAGGCAACTTTTGGAAAGGTTATCATTTTCTCACAATTGATTACTTCTCAAATGTTGAAAGATTAAAGTGTGGTTAATTAGACGAAAAACGGAGTGCATTAAAAAATTAGACATAACATAAGCATTTCTATAAATTCCTTGGACAGAACACTTAATTAAGTAGACTTTTTTGTATTTATGATATTCAGTGCGAATTCAATGTTCCCTTTGTAAGAAAATATGTGGATAAATTTATTTATCATTATTTATAACGGATTGTAATACTTATCATTATTATACCTTGATTTACTGATTTGGATTCGTTTCCTGATGTCTTGTAACATTCATTTATTAGCGTTATTTTGTTATTGCTGTTGTTATACGAGTGGAGTGATGTTGCTGTAGTTATAAGAGCGGAGTGAGCCTCTTGTTCATCACGTCTTGTAACATTCATTTATTAGCGTTGTGTAGTTATTGCTGTAGTTATAAGAGCGGAGTGAGCCTCTTGTTGCTCACGTCTTCCGCTAGTGAGCTTCTCGCCACAAGTTACATTCTACGAGACTTGCATTAAAGTAAAGACTGTGCGTATTGTGAATGAACTCAAATAACATTCATACAAATGACACTAACTATATTTTGTGTTTTTTCTCGCGGGATTAATTTTACTGAGTTTTCTTTTTATGGCTTTGAGTAGCTAGCAAAAGGGGTGTATCGTCACACTTTCCATAAACAGCTTAAATCATAGGTCACCACAATCATTTACCCCGAATCTTGCCCAACAAAATTAACCAATCACTCCCGAATCACGAGTTACCAATCATTTACCCTCAAATCTTACCCAACAAAATTAACTAATTACCCCTGATCCTTCAATATTATTACGAACAATTACCCCGAATCTGCATAAACAGCTTAACAGGGTACTAATCATGAATCTTGCCCAACAAAATTAACCAATTACTCCCGAATCATGAGTTAACGATCATTTACCCCGATTTTTCTACACTCTTTAACCGAAAACTCAGGACTTAACCTAGAGCGATTGCCTGAAAAATACTTCTGTGGAATATATAATTGATTTAAATTTTTGAAATACTTTCCAGAACCGGGGTGCTCATCTTTATTAATCAACACAAAACTATAAGGTACTTTATACGTTTCATTACACANCTCAATCGGGGTAAATGATCGTTAACTCATGATTCGGGAGTAATTGGTTAATTTTGTTGGGCAAGATTCATGATTAGTACCCTGTTAAGCTGTTTATGCAGATTCGGGGTAATTGTTCGTAATAATATTGAAGGATCAGGGGTAATTAGTTAATTTTGTTGGGTAAGATTTGAGGGTAAATGATTGGTAACTCGTGATTCGGGAGTGATTGGTTAATTTTGTTGGGCAAGATTCGGGGTAAATGATTGTGGTGACCTATGATTTAAGCTGTTTATGGAAAGTGTGACGATACACCCCTTTTGCTAGCTACTGCTTTGAATAGGCCAATAAAAGCGTGATTTAATTACCTACGTGTGTTTTGTATTCACACCTTACCGTCAGCCTTGGAAGGCGGGGAATGTACGTCATAGCTATATTCGCCGCGGACCCAGCGACTGTATGGTAAAAGGGGATATATAGATGAAGGCGAGGAATATACAACGTAGTTATAGTCGCCGCAGACCTGGAGACTGTTTAAAGTGTAAGGAGACGTTGAAATGAAAGCGAGGAATGTGCGCCATAGATATAGTCACCACGGACCTGGCGACTGTATACTGTAAGGGGATATTGAGATGTAGGCGAGGAATGTACGCCTTAGCAGCCTCTTTTAGCCTCCCTTTCCCTCCCGTAGCAGCCTCCCTTTTCAGCATCCTCTTTTAATTAAAAGTAGATTGCCCGGTGGGCCAAATCTGCCTATTATAACTGAAGAGAGAAGCAGGTCAAGTGACCTCATGATGCATCTGGTCAGACTGTCTCGTGATGACTCTGATCATAGGCTGGACGAGGGTAACTGCGCGAACCACAATCATCTCCCGCTCAATAAATGGCGTAATTGAATTTATACGCGCACGTTTGCTAAATGATTTGACGGAATGAACGGAGAGTCGTCTTGAGATTTAACCAATGATAAACAAACCCATGCAACAGCTGTTCATGACGCCCATTTTTAGCCTGAAACTATTGCGGGCGCTTCTGTTCGCTGAGCCGCATGTGCTTGAATTAAGACAGAAGGGCTCTATAATGAGAAAATTCGAAAACAAAAATCCAATATTATACCCACTCTCGAGCACATAAGCCACATTATCGAATGAAAAAATCGTTGCAGATAATAATCGAGCAAATTAAGAAATCTACTCAATGAATTAGATGAATAACGCTGAAGGATAATGCAAAATAATTCTATATCAATCTATTGAATACATTAAATTTTTGCAGAGATTCCTAGAGCCCGTATTATACAACAGAGGAAGTAACACTAGATTCAAGGTTGTAGGAATCAAATATAGCAGGAATATGTGGTTTGCGTAAAAAAATTACTTGGAGAATCCTGTTTATGTGAACTTGTGCTCACACATGAGAGCGTCGCATGCGCTTCAATACGCAAGCATAATGTACGCGGTAATTACACATGCAATAACACCCAAGCTCCAACTTTTAGCCCAGCAGGCATTCGCTGGCTGAATCGGCGTTGAAACAACTACTTATTTCGACATTGAGATCGGGGTGAAAAGAGGTTTAGAATGAACGGTTTAAAATCGAAAATCAAATTAATCCGAGAATAATTTCAACGTCCTGACGAATCTGGTGGTTTGCAAATTGATAGATAGCAGGAGACTCGTCTTTAATGATGAGAGCCTCCGCTATCGACAGTCTTGTTGCGTCGGGGCACCGCATGACGATGCTGGTGCAGGCGTCCAATGTAGCACGGGTGATGGTATCGTTGTGAGCCTCCCGCATTTGATTCTTTGGTCCTCCAGCTTGCAGATGGCATGCGAGTCTGCGGCTCAATGTTGTGCTTGTCAAACCGATGTAATTTACATTTTGGAGAAGTCTACAGCCTTCTTTCAAACAGGAAAATTTGTAAATGACATTGGTTTCTTGCAGCGGTCCGGACTTTTTACATGGATAATTTTTCATGATTATTTTGTTTCTGTAGTAAATCAAAAGTTGTATTCGGTCAGTTACTGTTGTGCATCTGATGTTATTTTGCACAATTGAATTGATGACTCGTTCGTCAGTCTTTTAACCGCCGTTCATTTGATTTTGATAATAAATTCTGGTTACGCAACCTCTTCATCTGTTAGCGGTTTTGACGTGCACTGATATTTTATATTTCTTTGTCAATCGTTTTGTTTGCATAACCGTTGTTGACAAGAATTTGTTTGCAGGTCCGGAGTTCAGTTTTTAAGTCATGAGCGGATGTACAGGTCTTGAACGCTCGATGTATGAGGGCGCGTATGGTGCTGATTTTGTAGCGCTGGGGCATTCGCTTTCTTGGTTCAGGACCTTTCCGACGTCTGCAGGTTTCCGATAAACTTTAATGACGAACTAATTATTATCGTCTTGCACCAGTATGTTCAGAAAAGGCAACGTGTGATTTTGTCTGAATTCGTAAGTGAATGTCAAAACGGAATTACGTTCTAAAGCCAAGTGCAGCTCCATCATGTGAACTTCGTCTCGAACGATGACGAAGATGTCGTCGACATATCGACAGTAAAGGTCAGGTTTAATTTGTGCATCAAACAATACACGGTTTTCGAGTTCGATCCAACAATACACGGTTCGGGGTCCGAAAAGGCGATTCTGAAGTACAGAGACGGAGGAGATCAAGTAGAATATTTCTAGGGATTGATGGGGCCGAATTGGTTGCTAGATGTTTGTTTTATTTTAGTTCAGGTCTCTCATCGTTGATCTGAATACTGTTTGGATTCCCTAAGTCTTCACTATTTTATAACACAAGTCATTAGTGGGGCTACAGCATCGTTTTTTTACAGACTAAAAATCCGCGGGTTTAACCCGAAATGTTATCCGCATGCATCGAGCTTTGAATATATAACACTTTTATCAGCGGAGATTCCACAAGAAGAAAGGATGGTCAGGAGATAGCAACGCCCAGACTATCCTTGAGTTTAATGCTGTAATGACAGCTGCAAATTGAGTGATCCAGAGGAAGGTTGTTGAGGGTTATAGAAAACTTCGCCCTCCGGATGTAAATGCGGTTGTTTTATTGCCAATAGCAGTTCTTACTGATCAATGATACGCTAGTTATCATTAGACCTGGTAAATATCTAATGAGATAACGAACATTGCACATGTATTACTTACTGTTCAGAACAATCCTAAAAGAGTATATAGAAATAGTGCATTCAAATACAACGTGTACCTGACTGCTCTTGATTGAGTTCTCATTTGCCCTCGTACACTTTTCTCAATCATGAACTTTCATTCCA